TCCAGGAAGTGTCAAATCTAACAAGAAACGAGCATCTGTGCCGACATCAAAATAAGCTCCGCAATACGAAGATAATTTAAAAAGCACGTCTTCATAACCATCGGAACAGCTTGGAACGATAAAGAATCCGCTCATTAACGACACATTTTTACAGTGCAGAATAATTCCTCTGTTTTCTGCCACTAACCAAGTCCAGCTGATCGCTAAAAGGCTTTGAGCAGAAAGATTAACGACAAAACAGAGGAAGGAGGATGTTCAAATAACAGTTTCACGCTCAGTGAAATGGGATTTATTTCAGTCTGAAACAAGAGTTAAACTAGTTTTGAATATGTCTGGCAAAAGACGCAGCTCAATAACACAAGTTTTAGTTTAAATGAAAAGTTTATTAAAGCTGATGGGTTTTTAATTTATATTTTCAAACAGGATTTAGATGAAGACATCTTTGTTGTAATCTTTGTAAATCTGCTCTAGATTATAAGAAAACAGCTCTGCTGGAACAAAAACATAAATAAAAATTGTCGGCTTGTTATTTGCCCAAATTGTTTAAAATAATTGTAAATATTGCACTTGTGAGATCTGGTGGGAAAAAAGGTGCTTTTAGTCTTTTTTCCAACAGTGAGAACAGTTGAAGCCTTCTTTTTTTTTTCCACTTCACTGTTCTTTTCCAAATTAAGGTCCAGTGAAGCGCAGCTAATGTTCACAAACCTAATGGTCATGTGAATCCTCTTTCATCTAGTCACATGCGATGTGTTTGTGTGTGTGTGTGTGTGTGTGTGTGTTTGAGCAGGCTGGTGGACTGTCTGAGAGACTTGGGAGCAGCTGACTGGCAGCTGGCGGCCCAGGCTTGTCAGGCCATGTGGAACCTGACGGGCGGCGGCTCCGAGGAGCTGCTGGACACGAGGRACAGAGAAACACTCGTCCAGATCCTGACGACGTTCTTAGGTTTGTGTCACCTGTCCTGACATAACAAGGGGGGGGGATACATGCAGGGGGAAAAAAAACACACACACAAAATCTGTCTCGGTTCATACATTCTGTCTGAGAACACCAAACATTTTTCTTTTTATTTAACCTGATAGCTGAAGCTTAACGACTTTTCTATTTAAACTACTCTGGCTGTTTTTAACAGAGCTTAAAATCAAGTCTTTTCCCAGCTCTGATTGTTTTATCAGTGTAAGGTTTTTTTGTTTATTGATTTTATTAGTTTTATTATTCACTGTGTTTTGCAGTTTTGTAGCACTTTGAGATTTTTTGCTAATGAAAAGTGTTACAAATTAAATTAATCATTATTTTTTTTAGTTTAACTTTATTCATTTCATTAAAAAACAATAAATATAAATATACTGTAYTAGGGCTGTAAAATTAATCGAGTTAACTGATTAATTTTAGTGCTGCATCGGCATAGATTAAAAATTTTAATCGCGATTAAAATTTACAATTACTACTATGGCTGAATATGTAAGTTTGTATGTTGCAGTGCACTCAGCGCATGCCAGGTCATGTTTGTAAATGAGAAGTGGTTCTCAAACAGCTTACCTGGATAAATAAAGGTTAAATAAATAATATTTGTGTAACACATTATGTACAATTTTTTTTCTTTTTGTCTTCTTATGGCTTATTTTATTTTATTTATTTATGTTTTGCTGACAACTGTGACATAGTATCTTTCATTCCTCATGCAGTACTATAGTAGTAGTATGTACAGTATAGCCTAGTGATAACTCAAGTAATTTATTTTACCAATATGCAATAAAGTTTTATATTAAGTTTAAGATTAATCATTATTAATAGTGATTAATTCACAGCTACCTTGGAATTCATAGATTAAATATATACTGTATATATATACTGTATATGTATTAAATATATACTGTATATATATATATATATATATATATATATATATATATATGTATATGTATGTATGTACAGTATATTAGCATATAATATGAATATATAATTATATAAATAATATATTATTATTATTATTAGATGAAAAGGAGGCTCTGAAGTGGACCCAAAATGAAGACATGAGGGATTTCCACAGAGCATGCTGGGAGATGAAGTTCCAACCTGTCGCTGAAAAACTGCTGAAGGTGCTGCGGTCTCAGGACCTGACAGCTTGACGCACTCAAGGTTAAGTTTTRTTTGTCGTCATATAAACTGATGTGTCTTATAGTTTACAGTCTGAGGTTTGCGTTCTCTTTTTTTATGAAGAAAACAACTCACCTCGACTCTGAATCAGTTAAAAGTGACTTTAAATAATGAGCTGCAGAAAGACTGAATTATATTTTCGTTTAAAACAGTCAATAAACATCTTATTTCTAATTATATTAATATCAATGATTGGTGTTGACTGTATTACTTTGTTTCAGATTTTAAACTATTTATGCACTTTATCCTCTGATTTTCCTGAAATCTTTGCGTCCTCCTTCATACAAACCTGTAATACTTGAACTTTATTCTCTACTGTGTGGTAAAGATACTAKAAGTATAATAATAATGTGGTGTTAAAGACAAGACTGATACAGAATTTATCTACAAATGTAAACTTTTATTCACTAAAATGCAGAATTTGAGTTTGTGTGTGATAAAACTGAGCAGAACTTTAAAAAAAAGCCATAAACATATTTTGCTGCTGTTGTTTTTTTTTTTTTTGCTTCTCCAAGCCTTTATTGTTACACATATAAGGGGCAGGGCAGTGCTTACAGGTTACACCAATCACATCATCATTATTACATCGAAACAAATCAGAATGGCACTTGAAACTAAAAAAAAAACATGTCAGCTTCCCCAGTTTTTGTACAGTTGTAACTTGTAACAAGTCGACGGTTTAAAACAAAAGCTGAAACTTATAAACAATGCGTTTCTCTGGTTGAGATCAGTGTTGCTTTAAAAGAATGTTTCCTGTTCTTTATGTTGTGGGAAATCAAACCACTTTAATGTGAAGTTTGGTCAGCGGGCAAACGCCAAGCTCCTGCTGGTGATTCTGCATGGAAAACGCTGAAATTCAGACTGAATCGGGATCAGCTGGGAAGTTAAAGCGACGTCCAGAAGCTGAGAGAATTTGACCTCAACCAAGTTCAACTCTGACCGGCTGTAACAAGGCTGTGAGTCATCCAGCTCTAAAACACAYAACAGATAAAACTCATGAAAGTCCTCTGAGCTCAGCCTTTTTTTTTTTCCTATTCAGAGCCATCTGCACTTTACAGCAAAGTTTTAAAAYGCAGCACTTTTTCACGAGTCATCTTTAGAACAGCGTTCAGTTTAATTAGTGTTGCTGTTTGTGTGCCTCCGAGTGCCGACGCTGACACCGATTGTGCTTTGATTGCTTCCGTCCTGAATCGTGTTGGTTTAACCAGTACAATCTCTTTGATGAAGAAAGACAAAGGTAGGAGAAAACGACAGATATGCAACAGTTTAATGTTATACTTTATTTTTTTCATCTTTTCTTCTTTCATAAATTTTCATATAAAAAGTGTCAGTAACTGACGTCAGTCAGAAGTTTGAAAAGAAAAAAAAACTTCCACTTTCTCTTAAACCACTTGCAAATGTACCATTCTTTTATTATCCTCCTCTTCGTCAGGATGTCTCTCCTACATTTGTCTGATTCTCTCAGTCCACCCTTAAGTTCGCAGTACTGAACTGATTTTAGTAAACAAAACAGCAGAGGCTTTAAACCTCTGGTTAAAATAAAAAAAACAAACGGCTGCTTTTGCACTTGTTAGACTTCCCTGGAAGGGGGAAATAAAAGAACATAAAGAAAAAAAAAATAAAAGCACAGCTACAACCTTTTGCGCTCGAAAATAAATCGACCGCAGGCAGGCCGGAGTGGGCGCGCAGTTTTCCCAAGTACTGGGAACAAGGCAGCCCCACTTAAAAAAACAAAAACATAGGTTTCTGCTCCCTAAAGAGCACTTCCTACATGTTTTATTAAATGGAAAAAAAAATAAAATAAAAGAATAGAGGTATTTATTTACTGGTAAAATTCACAATCAAAAGCTTTGAAAGTGTGTGGGCCACCAGGCGAGCGGGATAAGCGGAAGACAGATAATGTGTGGTTTGGGGCAACCGGAAGCAAATCCCTCCTGGAAAACCTGGTTTCTAGCTTTCTTTATGATTAACTTTGTGTTTTTTTTTTTTAATCACTTTTCCCCATTACCAGAAAAAAACAAAAAAAAAAAACATCGTGAACACAAAAACAAAGTATCGCACAATTACAGAGCTACAGCAGAAGCAGGAGGGTTTCCCTTCCAAGTGCCTCGCTTTTTTTTAACAAATGAAATTCCAAGACATACTTTTTTTTTCTTTTCTTATCATTTCTGTGAAACACACACACACACATACACACACACAAACATTCACAACTCAGTCACTCATTCACACACATCCAGTCAAACTCAAAATGGGCTCAGACAGTGTTCTTTGAGTTGGGTTTCACACTCCTCGGATTAGCTTACATTGCCGTTTGAGATATAGGATTTGGGTAAAGGACAGGAGGATTGGGGGGTAATGCAGTGGATTTCGAATGGACAGGGGCTTTTAGAAAAAAAATAATAATAAAGGACTGAGGGAATTGGGTGAAGGGGTGATTTGGGCATCGATATGATCCCATTAAAAATACAACCTGGGAGCAGCAGCATCAGCACGTATGCACACTGTGCTGGATAGTTCAGGCACACGTAAAATAAAAAAAAACCAAACAAAATAAACACGAAGCGTTCATCTCCAGTTAAACACGTCAACAACATCCGTTTCTCATCATACAAAACAATGAAATAAAAAGATATTAAAGAAACTAAACAAACAACAGTGACAACAGAATCAAAGTGCAGACTGTTTTCGGCTGCACAGCTTTCTTTCTGGGGAATTTTTTTACTTTTCTGGCTTCTCATGCCATCAGATGAAAGGTGAGACAGGCAACCAACGCGTTGCATGCTGGAATACTGAAATCTAGTCCTGGATGTGTCCAGTGTTGAAGCTCCGGCACAAACCAACAGCTCAGGGGTTCGCTCAATGCTGCCCTCTTTTGGTCAGTTTTGGCACTGCAGGCGACACACCTGTGTGTTTGTGTGGATCCGCTGACTTGTCTCCGTCAAATATCGCTTTGATCGTCTTTGCAACATCCAACCAACATGAATTGTCACAAACATGACCTCTTTTCCACATTTTTGTTGATTTTTTTTCTCCTCCTCTAAGTCTTCCCAAAAAAATAAAATAAAATAAAAAATGAAAACAATAAAGACAGTCAGAAAACAATAAAAAAAAAGACCGCCAACAAGCACTTCATGTCATGTAGCGGGTGATCGCTCTCAGAGCGTATAACAGTTCTGCTTGCATTCGTGCTTCCATAAGAAGCAGATTAACGTGGACCTGCAGGAGAGGAAACAGAGAGGGTGTTACAACACTGTAGCACAGGTAAACTACAAACCAAAACMGGAAACGCCACCTCACCTTTTCGGAGTGCTGAAACTGCCTCCAGAAACTCTCATACATTCGTTTGGTGGTCTTCTCAGGGCTGCACACCATGGTCTTGATATAAATCTTAAAGCTACGGTCCAGAAGCTGGTTTATCTCCCCGTAATCGTAGTCGTCATACCTGAGGAGCGCAGAGAAGCTGTGTGAGCGGCAGGACGGCGAGGTTACAAAATAAAAGCCYGGCCGGTGACTGACCTGATGCCGAACATGCAGTGGATGTAGTTCCAGATGGCCCTGCGCAGCATGCTGGTGTCCACATCCTTATGTGTGGCCATGGTGTTGTACGTCAGATTGTACGCCAGCTGGAACTTCTCGTCCAGCATCTGACCCACGTCGGGGTACAACCTGTTGACCAGAGAGAAGCCGTGGTCCTCCCAGCTGTAGTCCTGGGGGGGGGGACACAAACACCAGATCAGTGCCGTTCGCACTGCAAAAAATGTCAAACTGTCCACCTAACCAAGTTTTAAAATCTTATATCCAGCCAAAAATATCTTTTTGATCTTGTTTTGAGACTTATTTACTAAACAAGAACTGATTGTGTAAGAATAATAATCTTGTTTTCAGAATGTGTAAGATTATTTGTCTTGTTAGCCTGAAAATTTGCCTCAAATTACGTCAAAATTTTCTGCCAATGGAGTAAAAAAATTTAACTTTGTAAGATTCTTGAAATAATTGATTTGACTCAATTTTTTCCTTATTTCAAGAATCTTACCAAGTAAAAATTTCTTACTCCATTGGCAGAAAATTTTGACTCAATTTGAGTCAAACTTTCAGGCAAACAAGACAAATAATCTTACACATTCTGAAAACAAGATTATTATTCTTACACAATCAGTTCTTGTTTAGTAAATCAGTCTCAAAACAAGATCAAAAAATGACTTTTTGGCTGATATAAGATTTTAAAACGTGGTTAGGTGGACGTATTTTGCAGTCCTCTCAGCCTGCAGCGCTGTAAACACAACCTGGCTCCTCCTACCTGAGCTCTGAACGTGGGGACGTGCTCCCCCCTCCTGGAGAAGTCCTGGTAGCCGTAGCTGGTGTCCTCGAAGTGACGGGAGATGTCCCTGGAGGGGACGCAGTCCTCGTCCTCGGCCGTCACCACCAGCATGCTCTCGGTCTTCTCCCTCTCGAAGCGAGTCGCCATCTCCTCCTGGCTGGCCTCTTCGTCGTCGCGACACTCCTGCAGCTGCTTCATCCTCTTCATCAGCACCTCCACCTCACCACACATTTCCTTCAAAATAAAAAAAAGAGAGTTTCAGAACCAACGTTTCAGCAGCTGTAACACCAGAGTTGTACAGTAACTAARTACAAATACTTTGTTACTGTACTTAAGTAGAATTTTGGGGTATCTGTACTTTACTTGAGTAATTATTTTTCAGCCTACTTTTTACTTCTACTTCTTACATTTTTAAAAAAGACAAGAATTAGAAAGTCGTTACTTTTATTTCAGTTTTACCTGTTTTTATTCCAGCTTGATAATGTAAAAAATAAAAACTATCCATATAAACTGAGCCTCTTAGATAGAGTGAATTTATTTGTGGTTGAATGAGAAGTATAAATATATAAAATTCTGATACTGTATTATTTTGTACACAAACAAATCATGTCACACTGCAGCAGGACATAATCATTAAAATAAAAGAACTGTACTTAAGAAGTATTTGTATTTCATGAATTATATTATTGCATTTGGCTGCAGCCCTCATATTTTTATTTTGAGGAAAATGTTTGAGTACCCTTGATATATGTATATAAACTGAAACAGCTGGACTAGTGCATCCTAAATTTAACATAAATTAATTATTTTAATACAATATAGTCATTTCTGTATTTTTGTGGAGGTCACCTCCTAATAAATGTCCTTACAGAAACTCTAACTGCTCATTTTAAATCAATACTTTTACTTTTAATACTACAAAAAATGTCAGATACTTTAATACTTTTACTCAAGTAATATTCCTAAAGGAGACTTTAACTTTTATTTTTTGGTAAGATACTTGCAATTTTACTCAAGTATCACTTTGTGGTACTTTATACAACACTGTGTAATACTGCAGCTTTTATTTGTTTCGTTTTTTTTTTTGTTTGTGATCGCTCACCTGATTGCCGAGCAAGTCGTCGTGGTGGTTAGCGTGACCGTTGCCGTTCGCGATGTCGCACACGCAGTACTGGCTGAGGGAGGGGGGCCGGAAGGTGTGCCCGCCGTCGCAGTTGATCTCGGGCATGATGCCGCAGCCGAAGGTGAAGGAGGCGAGGGAGTGGTAGTGCGTGAGCAGGACCACGGCGTGGATCAGCTCCGCCAGCGACCAGCTGTGCTCCTCGGCCTTCAGGAAGCGCTGCGGAGAGGAGGCGGGGCCAAACGAGCGCTGATGAGTCTCCGCCCACAGGGGGGAACCATCACAACTCAAATCCCCCCCCCAGGTTCTYACTCACCTCGATGTGCTCCTTGGTGATGAGCCAGGGACGGTGGGCCAGGATCTTGTTGAGCTCTCCGAGCTGCTGCAGCTTCTGCGGAGCTTCCTTCAGACCGTTCAGCCACTTCTGATCCCCTCCGACCTGGAGGAAGTCGTTCACGTGCAAGTTGACCAAATAGGAGCACTGGTGCCTCGCAGCAGCCTGCAAAGATCCGATTAAAAAAATTAAAAAAAATAAATAAAAAAAAAAAACAGCTTCGATCCTGCACAAATAAAGCGCTCTTCTGGATGAGTGCAGTACCATGATGCCGATGTAGTGTCTGTAGTGCAAAGGCAGGGGTCCGTCCATCTGCAGCAGGTAGTGCTGCGTCCGCAGGAAGCTGTCCAGGTACTGAGGGTGGAACCCCATCAAGAGGGAAATGTTGTCCAGACGACCGAGGGCTGCGAAAGCATCCTCAAATATCGACTGCGTCCTGGTGTCCACTTTACTGACCTGAAGAATCTGATATTAAAAACAAAATTAATGTTGTTGTTTTTTTTTTGCAAACGTTTAATATTTAGTCCAGAGATGTCTCGTACCTCTTTCTCCGGGATAAATCTGCTTGGTCCGTTCCCTAGGGGTCTTGGGATTCTGATCCCCAAGTCCTGCAGAAAATAAATAAATAAACAAAGGTTTAGTTTCTATCATTAAACTACAACGTCTTTTTTGCAAGCCTATTTTTTTGTTGCAACACGAACAAAAAGAAAAAGGGAGGA